CTCGACTGCGCACGCTAGACGGTTCGCCGTGTCGGTGGACACGTGCCCACTAACCAGAGGCCCCTTTTTGTCGAAACAGAACTTAAAGTTACACATAACTGTAATCGGTTTTAGCAGCCATATCGAACACACACTTGCAGTGTGCAGACGTGTGGTAGTACCACAATGGCATATACGCCAACCGATTAGAGGTTCGAATTCTCCAATAAACATATTTTGATGTTTGCAATCCAAGCAAATTTTATTTATTTTTTTTGTTTATTATTATTATTAGCTCAGAATCTATTATAAAGCTGATTATTAGAGCGGTGATGGTATATTAGGGCATTTTATTGTTTCAGAGTACCCATTTCGTAAAAATAGAATACAAGAAATAGCATTTATATATATATAGGAGCATCTTATATATATATAAATGCTTGCAAAGTACCTCGTACTTTGAGACCGCTTGAAAGGTCATTGCAGTTGGCAACTAGGGCCGGATTATATTATCTTAAGCCACGGATCCGTGTTTCTTCTCTCTAACAGATCGCAATATTGAATGGCGCGAGAAAGATAAAACGAATCGAAGTGATACGATATGGTTTACTTTCTAAGAACCTGCTACTTCATTCTGTAAACACTGTTATTTGAATTAGCTTCATGTAACATCGATATATTTTCTATGGGCTGCATACTAAGATCGAACTTCATTGCAAATCCATCTTTGTATCCCTATACTTTTTGTTTTTATTTGCTAAAAATAACAAGCCTTCTTACAACAATCTGTAGTACGCCATCGTAACATTCAAATTTGATAACTTAGTTTTTTTTAAAACTATCTTCGACATGATCAGTTCGCCTAGGTACTTGAGGCAGTTGCACATATCCTACGCTTCCACATATAGAAAAAGTCATTTAGGTGGGCTGTCAAACCAGAAAAGTTAAGTTAATTGGAACGGCTCTGCGGGTGCCAAATGACTCGTTTCCTGTATAGATGAAAATTCCATTTAAAAAAAGACGCTAGATAGTACCATATAAGTTAATGACAGCGAAATAGCCAATTCGTATACGAACCCTTCCAAAAAACATTATTGATTTTAGGTTAAGTATATTCTATGAATTTATATTTTTATTTTCGGGATTTGTTGTGTTCGATGTGGCATTGCTACGATTAATCGGCATTGTATTGAAACCAGTGGCACTTTCATTTTTTTTTTTATCGCCTCCATTTTATAGTGCCACTACCTCTGAAAAGTCTCACTTCCATCGTTTAGCGTCATTTCAACTTCGTTGTAATTTCTTGGACCATATAACCATTGTTTTTGTGGCAAAGCAGGTGCAGCGACATTTTTCAAGTTGTTCGTTAATACGAGTAACTTGTGTATTAAAGTTAAACCGCTAGCACTTACATGTTCAGTAGATCCGAATATTTTTTTTTATGTATGGCTGCAACTGAGACACTTGTTCTGATCACTTTCACATACGCAGATTACCGATATAATATTAAACACTGCTATTTATCGTCTTTTTTCTTTTTTCCGAAACTTCCTATGCTTGTTCGTATCGGCCAACGTAAATATATACATAACGCTCCGAGTTCTCTCATTAGTAACTCAAGAAACATGTTAGTTCCATAGAGCAACTAGAAATCGACCAGTTTAACTTGCAATTTGATTGCTGCCCAAAAAGTGCGACCTATAAAGTGCAGAACGAGTCCCTCTACGCTGAGGGTAATCTACTTGCATAGATTAGCCATTAGCTGCGGAATTAAGCAGCAACTGGCTGATTGAAGAAAAAGCCACATGCAAATTGAGGAAGAACGACGCGACGTAGTACGATCCGGGATATTGGTTTAGCTAGTATGATACTGGCGTCTAATCGATTTGATTCAGAACGCTTCATTTTCGTATCAGACTACGATACTTTATCAGATGATTTGTTGAGAATAACGCCGCACCGAGACCAACTACCTAATATAGTCTTCTTATGAATTATTAAGATCCGACCTTTATCTAGTGTCAAATAAAAATCAGCAGACGCCGCTGTCGCACTGAGTTCCCTCTGGTGCGCACCAAAATATTGGCTAGTCACACCGAAGTACACGGCCAAAGGTACTATTTCATCGAATTCAGCTTCAGTTTAGTTCTGAATAACATAGCGGGCTATATCTGACACGACGTAATAATACTAGTAACAGAAAGGCGAAGGCTTATGTCGAAACGAGAGGTTTACATTCACGGTAGTAACAGAGATTTAGGTTTTATACAGATGAGCCCGTACAATAGATATCTGCGGATTACAACTAACGACCGTCCGTGTGATCTTTGATTCCAGACTACAGTCTTTGTAAACGTAGGTTTCGCGGCTGAACTTGAGTGGACAGAGTATGATGCTCCGAACGAAGGTAACGCAAGACGCTCTTACAACAACAATTTTCTTCTTTGTTTTACCCTCGTCAATGACGTTCAGTCTCAATGAGTAAAATAATCATATCCTATATATATATATATATATATATATATATATATAATTTTAAAATACACACTCATAACTTCTCAAATACGGGACGCCAAAACCCCACAACTTGCACAAAGAGCAGCAGTAGCAACTAGCCAAAATGCCTTGGCAAAATAAGCTGGCCGGAGAAAAACCGGAACTGCGAAAAGAGAGAGAGAAGCAACTGTGCCCAGATAGATCGCTCACTCTCGAACTGTCTCGCCAGGACAGGCGACAACGGACAAGCAGAACCCAGAACGTCAGGCAAATGAACCCAACACCTTATAGCAGACGTTCTAACTCGGTATGGTAGAAAGTATGAAAAAATAACACTACAGTTCCAAACAATTCACATGATACGGTAAATTCAGAATGCACACCGTGAAAGCACCAGGATCCACATGTGTTTCTTTCAAGATTTCGGACAAATTAACCCAAATAAGAGGAAATAGGATAGAATGTCAAGCGAACATTATAATCATGTAAACGTTGTTGGTACTATACCCAATCATCATTTTTCAAATACACATCTTATTTCACTTACAGGGTAGTATATACCCTGTACATATGTACATGTACGGGGTATATATTGTAATAGGGTACATATGTATATATTGTAAATTTCTTTACAGTTGTATAGTAATGTTTTGCGTTTTGAATCAATTTCGTGTGCCGAAAGGGTTAAGCGTCCGTCAACGGAACTACCAAGAACAGTGTCTTTGTCTCTAATCATGCGTGAATAGGATCGTTAATCTTGCAAAGAGGAAAAAGATTCTTAAAATTCGATTTTTTTTTACTTGTGTGTTGAGCCCTAAACTTATGGGATTGATGTTCGTGAACAAAGTTAAATACATTGCATAAAGTTAGGTTAGAAAATAGATAGTTAAAAACATTCAGAATCAGAAGGTTTCATTGTCGCGGCAGGTGTTTCGATGACTTCCCTCCGTCTGCAAAGCTTTATTTAGAAGCTTTAATCATTGGCAGCACGGGCAATAGCCCTTGCTTTTATATTAGTTACAAACAAATAATTATCCACGATTGTGCGTTTCATCGTCCGTACAAACATCCGCTTCAGAGACTTCGATAAATCGGACGCACAAGTCAATCTCGTACGTACGTTTAAACTTACGTGACTGTTGGCAGACATTTTCCAATTAAAAAGAATACGCAATCGTTCTCCCTATTTGGTTAGGGTGGCAAGTAACTGGATTGATTCCTAAGTATTATGAGTTTGTAGCGGTATACCACTAGAGTTTCTATAGGACAATGTATTGCAGATAATAGGACACAATCAACGTCCTCTGCGGCACGCGGGTGAGCACAGTATGCAGCTCAAGAAATGAAAAGTCACCCAACGAAATCGCAGACGGTATCGATCATTTCTACTTAAAACACATCGCGCGGATACTGGCGTCACAAAAGGAGGCCACGAGTCTTTCTAGCATATAGGTATCTTCTACTCCAGATGTTTAAGTATAGAATAGCGCAAATGGCAGTCGCTCTTTTGAATAGACGGTCGCAGTGCGAAACTTCAAACAAATAGAAAAGTGACAGTAGCAACTGGTCTCGATGAAAGGCTCTCTGCACTGCATTATGTTAATGTGTTCTCACATGGAACGTCCAGGACTTCGAATTAAAAGGTCTTCAATTCTAATCTGGTCGGATACATACAAATTGATACGGTTTTGTAGTTGTAACATTGTTAATGAAATATTACCGTTATTATTATCATCATGCAGTAATGAACGTCCTTGATCAATGTCTTGTTGTAATGAAAACCGAGCGGGCCTTGCTGATTGTGGCCGCGTACTTGGTCCTAACGTCGCTGACTATTGTTGGCTTTGCATCTGAGATAGAGTGGCAGCGTCGGAGATACGTACAGAATCCCGTTCTACATAACGTTTTTTCAGCTGAGTCCATATTAGCTAGCTAAGTTAGTACGATTGTAGGTATGGTATAGGTTTAAAACATAAATGAAGCATGGTCACTTAGACATTATATAATTACGTATTATTATTAGTAAATAATAAATAACAACCTCGTTGTACAAGATTTGGAGGTAAAAGATCGAATTGATCTACGTACGTCTGTCCACATACTAAGAGAAAAATTGCTACGATCGCAAGTCG